AACGCTGTCACCAGGTTCTTAAGGGCCCAGTGACACCCGCACAGCCCCTGTTGCCTACCCTAGATTTATAATGGGTGACATCTGTGCACTTAGACCAGTTTCTGTTGATGATGCACATGGGAGAACAGGATCCGGCTTGGTCTTCCATGGTGCACGGGTCCCGCCGGGCTAGCGGGAGGGGAAAGCAGTTCTAGTCACAGAGGGTACATCCACACAGGGATAAACAACACGTGACTGGCCCGGATTAGCTGGGCTTGGGCTCTGGGGCTGAAAAATTGCTGTGTAGACACTTGGTCTGGAGCCTGAGCTCTGAGACCCTGCGAGGAGGGTCCCAGAGCTTGGGCACCAGCCTGAAGGTCTACACAGCAATTTTTAGCCCCACAGGCCAAGCCCCAGGAGCCTGAGTGAGCTGACTCGAACCAGCCATGGCCACGCTGCGGGTCTTTTATCCCCGTGTTGATGTACCCTAAAGGTCTGATGGCCAGAGCTGCCCTCCAACCTCTCCTCCTCTCCTGGCAGAGCACCACCATGGCCTTTGGGAAGGTGACGGAGGACACCGTGTACACCTGCACGGGGCACCCACTGAAGTCTGACATTGCCAACATTCTCGACTGGATGCTGAACCAGGACTTCACCACTGCCTATAAAAGTATCCTTTTGATTGTCCCCCTTACACCGCCCGGAGGGGCGAGTGAGACGGGCGTCCGACTAGCATGGTGACGATGGGGTGGCATCCCGCGGCCCCTTTCGCCAATAGTGTGAATGGAAAAGGGAGGCTTTTGCATTATAAGGCACTTGGCCACTCGCGTTACTCATGCCAATTAAATCTTTATGGCATCCCTGGCTCGTACATCTACATCTCCCCTTCTCTCACGGGGAGTGGTGCTTCCCGGGGACGCACTGGTTCCCTTTGATCAGCACGGGGAAGCTCTGGGTGTTGCAGTCCTGTGGGCTGATGTCTGAATTGCGGATGTGGTGCAGCTCCTTTCATTTCCAACCTCCAAGCATTCTGTGCTCCACTGACAGGGAGCTCGGGGTCCGATCCTGCTCCCTCATGGCTGTAGATTCAGAGCTGATCCTATGTTTGCTCACCCCACCAAGGATCCAGTGAACGGGGGGACAGGATCCCTTGTTTCAGTGGCATCTACTCCTAGGCTTCAGAATTCTGTGCAAAAAAATCCCTTGACTCTCTCCTCAGAAATCCTGGAGCTGAAGACGCTGAAGGGTTTGGCTCTGCATGACATCCTGACAGAGATCCACTTGTTTGTGCACCGAGGTAATGCTCCTCTGGCCGGCCAGCACGACATGTGGTCACCCCGTTCTAACATGCATATCCACCAAAGTAGCTTGTAGACGGTGTTCCTCATTAACCCATAGGAAACAAATCCCTCTTGGGGCCTGGCTACGGTCTGGGGACTCTGGGTGAGGCTATAACAAGGGAAGATGGTGTCTGTGCTATGGGAAGAGGCAGCCCCACAGGTAACGCCTCACCGTACATGGTTCCATTCACCGGTTAGACTGCAATGGGCCAGAGGTGGGGGAAGAACTGGTATGGAGCTGGCCGCAGAGCAATAGCCCAGTTTGGATTTTTCACTGCCTGTTTAGCAGTGTCTGACCCGCCCTGTTTTGCTTTGTGGCCCATGGCCTTTATGGCTGAGACCCATTTGCTATTAGCAGCACGTGTTTTGGGTGGGGGAGAGATTGGCTGCTACAGCCATCTTCAATTACTGTCTCAAATAGCCATTCTCCCTCACAGGGCGGGGCAGGTCCACTTAGGAGCCTTAAATGACTTGAGGAGTCGTTGTGGCACCTTAGAGACTAACACATTTATTTGGGCATAAGCTTTCGTGGGCTAGAACCCACTGCATCAGATGCATGGAGTGGAAAATACAGTAGGAAGATGTATATACACAGAACATGAAAAAATGGGTGTTGCCAAACCAACTATAACGAGACTAATCAATTAAGGTGGGCTATCATCAGCAGGAAAAAAAAACAAAACTTTTGTAGTGATAATCAGAATGGCCCATTTCCAACAGTTGACAAGAAGGTTTGAGTAACAGTAGGGGAAAAAATTAGCATGGGGAAATAGTTTTACTTTGTGTAATGACCCATCCACTCCCAGTCTTTATTCAACCCTAATTTAATGGTGTCCAGTTTGCAAATTAATTCCAATTCAGCAGTTTCTCGTTGAAATCTGTTTCTGAAGGTTTTTTTGTTGGAGTATTGTGACTTTTAGGTCTGTAATCGAGGGTCCAGGGAGGTTGAAGTGTTCTCCGACTGGTTTTTGAATGTTGTAATTCTTGACGTCTAATTTGTGTCCATTTGCGTAGAGACTGCCCAGTTTGGCCAATGTACATGGCAGAGGGGCATTGCTGGCATTCTAAATGACTTGATGCTTTTTTAAAACGCCACATTTACTCAACCTGTCTTCATCTCTCTCCCTAGTTGACTTCCCACCTTCCGTCCGAATCCAACTCCTGATCAAAATGGCAGACATCGAGTGAGTATCCCTTTGCTTTGCTTGCCCCAGCTGCCTTTTCTCCCCTAACAATTATCTTTAAGATGATGAGGTTTGGCCTGTCTGAACCCTTCCTGTGGGAAGGTTACTGTTGATGCTGCACCCCTGGTTCACAACTTTGTATCACATTACAGGACTGCACCCACTATCTTCAGTGGCCCCTGCATGTGTTTTAGCATGGGCACGTGCAAAATTGTACATTTCCAGAAGCTATCCGTGAAATAGATTTTTTGTTTTTGTTTAATTGTAAAACCCACATCTTGCCCAGCTTGTGCTGGGACCGACCCAGCAATACCTGCAGCGCAGGATCTGGCCACATGAGTATTTACATTTATGGTTTTCTTCTGCCTTAGGCACAGACTGGCTGCGGGGACAAGCGAGAAGATTCAGCTAAGCTCCCTTATTGCTGCGTTTCAAGTCACCAGGGACTTGATTGTAGCTGAGGCTTAGGGCCAGTGGCTTCCTGCAAGCACAGTTTACACCCTCACCCCTCCCGCTAAGAAGTAAAAAAGAAGAATGTCCTTGTCTGAACACGAGTCCAGTGGCTTCTACAGTTCCTTACCCCCTGAATTAGAAGCCCCATATACTGGTGACAATGTAGGGGACAAATTTGACCTTCAGATACGTGCACCTCATTGCTCTTGACTTAAGGGGAACTCAGCACAAGCATTTGAGGGAAGAATTTAGCCCTTTGCAGCTAAGTGTGAGGTAATAGACAGTGCTAAAAAGTTGTCCGTGTATAAGCTGCAGCATGAAATACACCTTTGAAGGGAAGTAAGGTAGGTTCATCTCTTCCCTTACACCCGAGGAAGGGGTTGACTTTGTGGTGCACACTGTAGCTAAAGCTGGCTGTTGGTGGGTTTTAAGGCTGCAAGCTCCTTTCATGTACTGGGAGACTTTAGTCCAAATTCACCATCAGTGTAACTATCTAACTTTCCCTGACTAGTGGAACTGCACTCCTATAGCAGCAGCAGATTTGACCCATTTAGCGTGCAGGGACGTTAGGGGCAGAATTGTGTATAGCAGAAGGGTGCTAGAGCTTTCCCCTTGTATGAGACTTTAAATGTTTCCCATGACACAATTTCACAGGAAGCCTTAACTGATCTCAGAAGGATCTTCTCAAACAGACATGGTGTACCATTACCTAGCGCAGAATCCAGGGGTCTCTTGATTTAATCAATGCTCTAAATTCTGTAAACTGGCTTTACAGTAGGTGCTTCTGGCCTGCTATCCTAATTGCAGGTTAGTGTAGTTACAGCCTAGGAATGACAACACACTAGTAGTCAGTTGTATGAAAGGGGAAAAAATTTATTTTGCCTCTTGAAGTTAATAAACATCTCAGGCTCCTGTGTACATGATGGCAATACTACAGATCATGTTCAAGTAAAAATTAAAACCATCTTCACCGGTCAGGATGCTGGACAGGGCCTATCTGTGTCCCAGTGTGCTCTTTACATACAATGGAGAAGAAATACCCAAGTGAAGAGCTGTGAGCGATAGGGTCCGGTCATTCTACGAGCTTGGAGAGCGATGCTCCATGGACCAGTTGTGCTACTGAGGTGGACACTTGTGGTACTGAGGTATAACAAGTGGCTGGGGTGTTGAGACTGCTCTTCAATGCAGATGAGGGGGATTTCACCACCCCTTTCTGCTACAGGTTCAGTGCACATATGGGGCTCAGAGTTGCTGGCCAAGATCGATCTTTAAGAAAACTGCTAGTTTAAAGGGACAATACCCCCTTCCCCCACTAACCTTGCTCCCAGCATTAGAGAAAGGGCACCATAGTCTTGCTGCTGTGATCCTTTAGGGAGCTCTCGTTCAGAACTTTAACACATTGGTTTTAGGTTCGCTGGATCAGACCTAGCTTCACCCAATCTGGGGCCAGGAGTAACCCAAGCTGAGTGGTGCCACTTTTCCCTTTGTTTTACTATTACAGCAGCAGGGTGTGGCCAGCTATCTTCTAGCTAACCCATGCTATCACTTGTGCTCATTAAGAGGAAGTCCAATGGCACTTAAGGTTTAGGGGTATTTTTGAAAGATTTAGGGATATTAAAAGCTTAGTCTCTTGGGGCTAGATTCCAATTTATAGGGGATGTAATTTTTCTAAAAAGGAGAAAAAGTCTCCCCCTAGTTTCAAGGGGAAGTTATTAGCCTGTCCTGTCAGTCACTGCCATGCGTTCTGAAGTAGCTTGTATGGCCCTTCCAGTTGTATGGCACTATATACAGGGGTAGTTATAAAAAGGGGGAATGGAGCAATTACGGTAAAGCATGTGCTGCTACTGCTGCCAGAAATTAGCCCAAATGAAATGGAGGAGTATGAGAGACAGCATCACCCCCTCCCCCCCCCCTTTGATACAGTACACATGAGTCATTAGCCCTGGCTGGAAAACTCCCTGGAAACTAGACTCCAAAAAGCAGTACTTTGGCAGGAGAGAAAGTGAGCAAGCAGCACAAGAGCGGGGACAATAGAGCCCTGTCATCTGCTGTCTCTCTGCCAAGTGTAAGAAGTTACCATAGTGCCAAGAATTCACCACTCTTACAAACTAGGCCACAGAACGTTTACTAGGATAGTACACTGGATAATTCAACAACTAGACTTGTCAAAGTGAGTGAACAAATCAGCTCTGGTAGTTATTGGTTGTTATTAAATCCCCCCCCCCACACACACACACACACACAAACATTTGCAAAATTCACAAGTTCATGCTTGGCCTCCCCCATAATGCAAACTAGCCAGGCTCTGCCACAATTAGTGTATGCCATGGGGATACAAATAAAAGCTGCCCAAAGTTGAAATCACTTTCACAAAAACAGACCAGCAGCTGGCTTGGTGCAGAGCACCTCCCAACCCCCACAGTCACTGTCCTTAAGGTGTTCATCTCTCCATTACACACAGGAGAAAGCCATGCCTTACACCATATAACCAAACCACAAGTACTTTGCTAGTGTCTCTGCCAAGTGAGCTGATCAAGCCAATTTCAGACTGGCAGCCACACTAGTATTAAGGGGAATCTTTCACCCCTCAAAGTTAAGACCTCAATCTCACTCCTCACCAGGCCCCTGCGCCTGAACATTCGGGGCTCCCTCAGGGCCGTGTACTTTTGTCACCCACAAAATGGCTCTACGAAGAGCATCTCTAACTCTTCAAACCCAAAAGGGGGAAACAAAACCTTTTATTTTGAAGTCTTTGCCCACAATGCAGAGACTTGTTCAGATTCAGCCGTCTTGGAACCAGGCCCAAGAAAGTAATAAACATGAAAGCCACAGCCTCGTTGAGTAACTCAACTAGGGGACACAGCTTCTCATTCGTGAAAGTGCAGGTTTGAGTTTGGACTGCCATACCAGTGAAGGCAGCTTCTCACAGCCCTCTAGCTTTTAACACACAATGTTCAGCAATTGCACTTGAAGTGAAAGCACCTAGAGAGAATTGAAATGTGTGTTGCTGTTGGCAGGGCCCTTCTGAACCAAATGCCCTGCACAGCCATCAGCGTGAATGGATCACTTGAGTAGAACTCTTGCTCCTTGTCAGAGTTGAGTTCTAACAAATTCAAAGCTCAATCAACTAGCCCACTGCATGTTTTTGCTGGGTTCTCTTATTAAAATAACCTACATGGTCAAAGATACAGCCCCAAACAAAGGAACAGAAATCCTTCTTGTACTAGAACCATAGAACATAGTGGGCCTTCGTGACCATTTTATAACCCCAGCTGCTCCTCCGTTCCAGAACAAAGCTCGGAAGGAAGGAAGGAAGCCAGCCAGCTGCAGGGTTCTTTGGACCCCCATGTACTACACAGGGTTTAAAAGGTCCTGTAAGTGAGGAATTCTTTCATTTTCTTGGGAATGGGTAGTGCTAGGACCTGGTACGTTGTTAGGAAGGTGCGGAGAGCTTTACGGCACAAGTGCTTGAGTGATGAGAGGACCTTGGGGGCGCTCCAGAACTGGACGTGGCCATCTCTCGTCCTGAAACAAGAGACCGAGGACAAAGGTTAGCATCCACACAGCTCAGCATCTGAGCCCTGACCAGACATGCCAAACCCACGGGAAAAAATGCAGAAATTGGGCTTGTTTTTGGCTTGGAAATGGCTTGTTGGCTTGTAGCTTGTTACTTCTTTATTTTAAATCAGCTCCCGGCCAGCAGGGGCAAGGAGTGGAGAGAGTCAGGGGTGCACAGCGGGCCCACCACAGTCCCAGACTGCACGCCGGGGGAGGTCTAGTCACAGAGTGTTGGGGTTCTTAGGGATTGGCTTGTTTTGAAATGGGATTAGCTTGATTTTTGGCTTATTGTGAAAGTCAGAATGCTTATTTACCGCATGAAAGTTTGCAACTGTGGCCCTGACCCCACTCCTGCATGGGGAGGAAAGAAAAAGCTGCTCACACAGGACTTTTAGGAAGTGGCTAGTCATCAATCACTGACTTGCAACAGCCTTGCAGATTTTCCACTCCACAGGAGACCACGGGCTCTCACTCGCACCCCTTTTCCCCACCGCCAGGTGGGATGACTTCATGAGAGCCCATCCGGCACACTCAAGAGAAACCCAGAACTCAAGGCCTCGTTTCTGGTTGAGAAAGCTGCACTGTCACTGCGTGTTCCGGCAGAGGCTGCTGCAGACACACAGGAGAAAGGCTGACACTGCAGCATCACAGCTCGCTGCTGAACCCGAGAGGAGCGGGGGCGGGGAGGTTGCTAGCTGAGGTGGAAGAATAAGGCAGGAACCCAACGAAGCTTGGTTAGGAGGGAATTGGGAGGGAAGACAACGCTCCAAGCACAGTATTTTCCAACATCGCTCTCTCCTGGCACCAAGGTCATGTCCACACTAGGAGCCTTATTCCAGTATAGGAATCAGGCTGTAATACACTGGCAAAGTGCTCCTAGTGTGGACACAGCTATACCAGGGGTATTTGTGGCACCTTAGAGACTAACAAATTTATTTGAGCATAAGCTTTCGTGGGCTACAGCCCACTTCATCAGATGCATGGAAGGGAACATACAGTGAGAAGATATATATACATACAGAGAACATGAAAAGGTGGAAGTTGCCATACCAACTCTAAGAGGCTAATTAATTAAGATGAGCTATTATCAGCAGGAGAAAAAAAACTAAAAAAGTAACAGACTTAAAGGTGGCAATTTTGCAACAGAAAAGCTTCAAAAACAGACTCCAACGAGAAACTGCTGAGCTTGAATTAATATGCAAACTAGATACCATTAACTTTGGCTTCAATAGAGACTGGGAGTGGCTGGGTCGTTACACAAATTGAATCTATTTCCCCATGTTAAGTACAGTATCCTCACACCTTTTTGTCAACTGTCTGAAATGGGCCATCTTGATTATCACTACAAAACTTTTTTTTCTCCTGCTGATAATAGCTCACCTTAACTAATTAGCCTCTTAGAGTTGGTATGGCAACTTCCACCTTTTCATGTTCTCTGTCTGTATAAATATCTTCTCACTGTATGTTCCATTCTATGCATCCGATGAAGTGGGCTGTAGCCCATGAAAGCTTATGCTCAAATAAATGTTTGTCTCTAAGGTGCCACAAGTACTCCTGTTCTTTTTGAGGATACAGACTAACACGGCTGCTACTCTGAAACCTGACAGCTATACCAGCACCCTGTGCTTTGTACTGGTATGGTCAAACCACCCGCCGTGAGCAAAGCACGCTCTACCGCTAGAAGTGCAGCTCTGCTGCTCTAGCATCTACACTCTGGCTTCTGCCAACACAGCAGTGTCGGTCAGGGGTGTGATGACTGATACAGCTGTGGGCTGGCAGAAGCCTATAGCGGAGACCTGGCCTAAGACTGCCCTGAGGATGCCCAGTTTTGAGACAGCAGCAGCGTTGCAGAAGGTTTTGGGTCATGGTGGAGTCACATTCCCCCGCCTCCCTCACCCCAAACTTAGCACGAACACAATGTGCTCTCAGCAGAGCACGTCCCACGGGCCTGCACAGAACGTACGCACCCTGTGGCAATAAACCCGCCGTGTGGGAAGTAGACGCAGCAGAGGCCATTGGTCATAGGTGCAAATGCCACTGGAGTTCTTAGTTCCAAATCCCAGATCCGTAGGAGTCTAAAGGAGAGAAAGAGAAACACAATGATGGCCCTGGAGTTCACAAACCCAAGTGGCACTAGCTACTCCAACTGCATCAGCTAAAATAAATTCTCAGCCGTCGAAGTTAAAACAACAACACGTTTCTAAAGCAAATTTCATCCATAGGCCTCCAAGCAATTTACAAGGTTACTTAAACTTCACGACTCCACTGCAAGGCAGGCATTATACCCATTTTAGAGGGGCTTAAACCAAGGCAGAGATAAAGTGACTTGGCTCAAGGTCATAAGAGCTGCCATGCTGGGTCAGACCACGGACCATCTTGCCCAGTATCCTGACTGTGACAGCGGCCCATAAGCAAACTGGGTGGATGGAAGCGGTTTCTGCTTCTGAGAACTTCCATGTACCTAACCCATCTCCCAGAAAAAAAATGTGCTAGAGATACCAGCACCAGCTGGGACAAAAGGACTATCACACACCACCCTTGCCAGCTTGACCTCGCTCAGATGGTAATCAGGCCAACGATTCAATACCAGGGTTAGCTCGATCTCCCCAGGCACGTTCCCAGTGTCACCAACCCTGACATGCAAAAATAATGGTTCCATAAAAGCTCACAGAGCCTTGCAAAGCCCTTTGGGACAAGGAGCTGGGACGTTTGCCTGTACAGTGCCAACAATGGCACTGGACAAAAAGCAGCAGCACCAAGTTACAGTCCTGATCTTAGCCCACAAGAGGCTCTCAATCTGCAAGGAATTCTCTCCAGGGTCCCTCACAGATTTCCAAGGCAGCTGACAGCACCAGGGGAGTGGAGGCAGCAGAACTTAATTGGTTGCTAGTCAGGATGCTATTGGTGCTTCATGGTGTGTAGCCCAACAAGACACTGGTCTTGGGAAGCTGATGTTTTGGCCACACCCATCCAACTCCCCTTTTGAGCATGGCACTGGCATACACACCTGAGCCAGCTGTTTACCTGCTGATCTTACTTTTAGGCCTTGTCACCATGGCAACCATGTCCAAAGAGGAGTTACATAAAGCTACCTGTGATGGGCAGTGTCTACAGCCCCCAGTACTGCCCCCAGCAGCTGTGGTGTCAGGACAAACAGACAAGGCACCAAAGACATATCAAACCAAAACCAGCGTCAAGTCATGCTGCTCTGAAAGCCCCGGCACCAGCAGAAGCAGCCAGCTTCAAAAGGCAGAGGTCCCTGCTGGAAAGTGGAGAACCAGAAGCCGAGAAGAGCTTTGTAGCTCATCTTAGCTGCTCTGGCAGGGACCCTGCAGTAGACAGCCATAAGATACCAAGTCCCTCACCTGTCATCTGCCACTGTCGCAAGATACAAGCCTTCCGGAGAGAAGCACACGGACCTCAGGGAGCTGGCATGGATGTCACTGCCATAGTCCAACGCCGGGGGCAGCGGAACGTGGCTAAGCAGGAGGGAAAAGGAAGAGCTCACTCACCACGTCCGTTTGAGCTGTAATGGAGCCCTGGCCCGTACGGCTGTCTGGGGGTGTGTTGGGGGGACACATGGTAAATCAGAGCTCCTGCCTTCCGAGAGTCATTGTGGCTGGTATTGGAGCGCAGGTCACAGGTGTCACTGTTAAACGTGCATTTCCCTTGCCACAAGCGTGTCGCAGACTGTGCGTCTTTCCACGGCGAGAGCTGTCCAGTCCCTGGGCTGCTCTTTAAAAACTGGGAAGGGAAGTGCCCCAGTGCTGAGCTGTGGGGAGGCTGGGGCCAGGCACTCATCACAGACTCCAATGCACCGCAGGGAAAGTGCTGGGGCCATCTCTTCCCTCGCATGCCGTGAGAGCAACACCTAAAGCAGTAAGAGGCAGCCATCTACCCTCGTGTATGGGAAAGGGCCATTCGTTTGCCGCCTTCTCCCTCCTGGGGAGGAGCGGCGCAGAACAATATGCACAGCAGGGGGAATGCGGCTAGCAGTGTGCAGCAGCCCCTAATACCGGAGCACCCTCAGGCACGCTCTCCGCCAGCACTCCCTCTCCTCAATGCCCCTCTGCTCACTTGGTGCCCAGGAAGCTCCCAGGGCCGCCCTCCTTACCGAAGCGTTCTCAGTTGCTCCCCTGTGTAGGGGTCCCACATGATCACGCAGGTGTCGTAGGAGGCCGTGACCAGCAGAGCAGAGTCTGGTGAGAAGTCGCACGACACCACGCTGCTCTGGTGCCCTTCCAGCTTCCTGATGAGGGTGTAGGAGCGCATGCTCCACAGGAAGGCCTGGGGGGGAGTGCACGGGGAGAGGGTTACAATCTCTGCTCATAGGAAGGGAGCAGCCCCTCGCCTGGGAATGCTGGAGAGAGAAGGATCTCCCTTATCGTCCCTCATGGGACGTCACCAACCAAGCGTTAGCTCCTGAGACACCAGGGGGGAGGGGGAGAACAGGCACCGCTCATGCGGGCACCAGCCAGTCTGACGCACGCCAGCTCTCGGCTCAGCACGACAGACTCTCTGCAGCATAAAGACTCCAACTGAACGGCCGCGCATGGCAATGACCACACGAGGGGGAAGGAACAGGGGTCTAGCCCCCGAGCTCGCTGGGTTAGCCAGGGAGAGTCTCCTTTGGGTGGCTGTAACAGCAGCCAGAGCAGGCCATTGTCACCAGTGGGAGGGTGGCCAGGACCCAGAGTCTGGACAGAACCCTCCCCCGGTGATGGTAACAAAAAGGGCTTGGGACATGTACGGATGGACCTTGTCCTCCTATCTCCCCTGCTCGCTGCATCCTGACACCCACACGCTGATCTCCCCAGGTCCATGCACAACAGGGCCCAGATCCTTCACCGGGGGTCTCGGGCACTCCTGCAACAACTGCGTCCAGGGCACCAGAACATGCCCCAGGAGCAGACCACAGGGCTCGAAACCGGAAGCAGGAGGAATAGTAGCGTGTCTGCGCCACCTGGCAAGTCCTGCGAGCAGCGGGAGTGGAGTCTAGTGATGGGACAGCGTACCCAGCCCCACCCTGCAAGCTGCTTCACCTGGGCCTGCTCCGCCCTGCTCACGGTGGCGGAAGAGCAGCATCCCCAGACCCAGCTTCCGGGAGAATCCTGCCTTAGCGCCCGAGGCGACAGGTTCCAAGCCGGCACGCGGGTGGGAGAGACAGCGCTCTCTCCAGATCTTCCCATCCCCTCCCTTCTCCCCATCCCCCACGGTCTGAGCAAGCAGCAGCCCTGGGCTTGAGACACAGCGAAGAGGACCATGGCGCGGGGGAGGGCAGGATATCCTACCTGGGAAAGACAAAGGGCAGGAACTGTGGGGGATGGGACATGGGTACAATGCACAAGGGTGACCCCTGCTGACCAGTCTATGGAACGGCACCACTGGAACAGGGAGAAGGGCTGGGATGGCAGAAGAGCAAGACGGGTAACGGTCAGGGGCAGTAAACACAAGGCAGGTCCATTCAGAAGAGCTGCTGGATCCCAGAGACCCGAGGCCAGCACACACCACTAAGCCAGCTCGTCCGCACTACAGAGGATATGGTGGGCTCTCTGACAGCCGAACGGGCGAGAAATGAGACCACTCCTCCCCCCCCCCACAATAATAGGCAAGACTCACCGATTTCTCTCCAGCCGCAGAGCACAGCATGCTGCAGTCAGGGGAGATGGAGCAGCAGTACACCCACTGCGTGTGGCCAGACAGCACCTGGACCTGCTTACCTGGGGATGGCAGCAACAGTTTGTGAGAGAAGTGTCCAGTCCAGAGTCAGGGAGAGCTGGAAGGCTGGTTCCTACCTCCACCTGCTCTCTCTGAAGCCAGCCCTGGAAGCAGGGTGTCTCAGACCAGATTAGATCTGATAGATTTCCCCATGCGGACGCTCTCTCTGCTGCATCGGGTTTATTTCCAGGGCATGTCTACACTGCAATCCGGGGGGGTGGAGGTGGGGGGCGGGGGGCGATTGTGGCTTGCGTAGACATACCCAAGCTAGCTGTAGTCTAGCTGGCTTGGGTACCGGAGCTACGGCTGCATGGAGCTCGGCACAGGCTGGCCACGCAAGGAATTACCCAGGGTTCCAGGGGGGCTGGCTCTGCTGCTCTGGTACCCACACTACCTAGAGCAAAACTAGCTAGCTCGGGCAGGTCTGCTCAACCTAGACCCACGCCCCGGATTGCAGTGCAGACATGGCCTCAGTCAGCCTCCAGCGTTCCTAACATGCATACCTCACACGCAACGGGGGGAAAACAAAAGTTCGCTCCATTTGCTGCTCACTTGTGCCACAATAATTCAGCGCGTTCGGTCCTGGCTTCCTTGAGCTGCCGTGGGGTTAGGTTCAAAGTGCTTTCAATGAGCCGGGACCAAACAGCTCAGCACATTAATAATGGGGGCCCGGACCTCTGACCACAAAGTCCTCTTGCATCCAAGGAGAGCAGAGCCCCTGTCTGGACGACACCAGCTCCCACAGCGTAGCCCGAGTGCTCATAACTAAAGCTAAGATTTTGCTAGGGTTACTTTTAGTAAAAGCCATGGACGGGTCACGGGCAATAAACAAAAATTCACAGGAGCCTGTGACCTGTTTGTGACTTTACAAAAAATACCCGGGGGGCAGGGCTAGGTGGCGGAGAGGAATGACAGCCGGAGACCCATGGGGGAGGGAGAATGACAGGCCGAGCCACCCCGCCATGGAGGGGGTACAGCCACGACTCCAGGGGCTGCAGCCACAGGGGGGAGGGGAGGTGTGTGCACAGCACCCGCTCTGGAGCTGGCCGCAGCTGCGCGGCTGGGGCACACAGTCCAGGCTCCAACCCCAGCCACAGGCGCACGGCCCCGGGAAGCTGCAAGGGGGGCGCACGGCCCCCTCTGCAGCCCCCGCCACAAGCCACTGACAGCTGGAGCCGAAGAAATCAGAGGTCCCGTAAAGTCACGGAATCTGTCGTAGCCTTACTCATAACGAGCTGAGAGTCTGAGGCCCACCACCTGAACACCCCAAGGGACGCGTGCACTCACTCGTACCATCTCTGCTCAGGTCCCAGATGCGGAGGGTCTTGTCCCGGGATGCAGAGACTAGAATCAGGCTTCCATTGGGAGCGAAGCTCAGGTCCCTCACGACATCCAGGTGCCCGGAGAGACTGAAAAGCAAACGCCCTGCGGACACGAGCACACAGCTCAGAACGGTCTCACCATGGGCACAGACACAAGCGCGCCTCGCCTGACGCGCAGGAACGCAGCCCACGTCGGACAGACGTGCTCATCGGGGACACACACACACCCCACTGCTAGCTGCACTTTCCAGCTTCGAGGGCATTGCTAAAACTGGCAAGGGATGTGGTCTAAAACATGGGGCAGAGTTTCTTTAGCCACCAGTGATCTCCTACCACCCTAAGGATTATGGGCACAGCCTGTCCCACGCTACCAGGAAGCAAGACCGGGGGCGAAACGCCTGGTCAATATTACTGGCTACTCCTGTGGGAGAATAGACAGGAGTCCCAACCTGCCTGTCCCTTGCCCATCCCCCTGGCAGGGAGTGGCCAGTGTAGTTCTGACCTGCTGCCCAGAAGGAGAAGGGGACTGTAGTGGTAACAGAGAGAAGGCAGGCTCAGTGACCCACCCCCCAGATCCACAGCTAGCTCTCCTGCCCCCTCACGGAAGCAGAGGCTGGGGGAGGGGGGGGGGTGGAATGGCTGCTGCCAGGTGATTTAGAAGCAGCATTGACAGGTTCAAGGGGCACGCTGGGCCAGGCCGGATCAGAGAGGAGCTGCAACGTGAGAATCAGAGCTGGGGAATACTAGGAACATGCTCAGGAGCCCAGAAAAGCTCCATGGGTGGAGTAGAAGGGGGAGGAAGACAGAGATTGTCTAGCCCCCTCCGGGATACAGTGAGGGCAGGGCTACTGCAGGACAAAGTGATGCCCCATCCCTCGCCTCAGGAGCTAGATTAATCCACCCCAACCCTACACACACACACACACACACACACACACACTCACCTGTTTGCACCTCCCAGACTTTAATCTGTCCGTCATTGAGTCCTGTGGCAAGGATCAGACAGGACCGACCCGAAGCCGGCAGGCCGTCCCCCTCCTTAGCGCCACAAGGAGGCCAGGAGCTGAAAGCCAGCCCCCACACTATCTGGCCACATTCCAGCGTCTTCTCCTTCGCGCCCCCTCCGCCTCTCACGTCGGCTTTGATGCCACGGTTCTTGCGTTCAGAGGCTTTGCAGCTTCTGCAGAGAGCAGAGGATCGTCGGGTCATTCAGCAGCTGCAGGTGCTGCCTGGTCCTCCCCCACCCACCCTAATTCACAGTAGGGGAACTAGAGCCTACTGCACACTGCTAGGTAGGCGTGGCTCGGGGGCTGTGTCTGCACCGGGGATTTCAGCTAGCGCTGGCCAGACTCAGGAGCAAGCTCCCTAGTGTAGACAGGCGAAGACACAGTTTAAACCAATGCCGTATACCCTGCCTGAAACCAGAGGAAGCTGTCTGGTCAAACCAGGGCTTTGTCTGTGTGCCTGATCCTCTAGAAGGCCTCAGCAGAGCTCATTACAGACAAGCTTTGACACCTCGGACCACTCCAGCAAAGCTGCTTTTACAGTTCGAAGCATGTCGCTGCTTACTCTTCCAAAATTCTTGTCCCACCTGGATCTACTCACTCGCCCCAAACAGACCAGCCACAGGGCTACCTTCCTGCCATAACGGGCACGTAGCTCAGCTTGGGCTCATTAACTTGGCCCCTTCACTTAGCAGGTGCACAGGCCAGCTGAATGAAAGCCATACGGGGAGAGGAAGGATGGGCCAGTGATTCACTGGCCTGGGACTAAGGAGACCTGCATTCCGTTTCCTGCTCCGCCACAAACTCCATGTGACCTTGGGTGAGTCACTTAGCCTCTGTACCTCAGGTCCCCATCTGCAGCAGGGGGACAATAGCACTGCCCTGCCGCACAGGTGAGGTGCGGTGCTCAGGTACTATGGGAATGGGGGCCAGACAAGTACCATGGGTAGCGAGGTGCCCTTGCCAGGCCACCTGCGTAGGGAAGGGTTGCAACTTGAAACCAGATCTCCCAGCACCTACTGTATGTTGCTACTTCACCCTAAAACCCTTCAAAGCTTGAGAAGGAGGATTCCTTCCTTGACATTTGGTTCACTCCCCCACACCCCAACTTCCTAAACCAAGTGAAGTTCCCATGTCCCTGTTTGCCTAGGAGTCAGCAAAGCCAGCAACACAGAACTGAACTGTCCCTCTCTTCTCTCCCAGGAGGCTGCAACAGCCCCTGTTAGGATATAGATATTCAAGCCTGTCTGCAAAGGCCTATACTTTAAGAATTTAGGTGTATTCTTATCACTTAGCTAGTTATAGAGGTATAAAAGAAAGAATCAAAATCATTGTCTATCTATGTAAGGGCCTTCTCTTACTGTAACAGTCTGAGGCCTGGTTCTTAGGCTAAGGCCTTCGGCTAAGCAGCAGAGGCCAGCCATAAACTGGGAAGTGTATGGTCACATCCTCAGATTCCAAACTAGTCATATTGAAATAAGGCAATTTGGGGCTGATAGGAAGGTGATCCGATCGATCACCTCCAGAGAAAGGGAAGAGCCTAGAAGATGTGAAAGGAAATTTAGTTTGATAGTTTTCTGTCTGGTAAGAACTCACTTATCAATAGACACAGCTGGAAAACCCTTCTGTCTGTATAGATGTAGTTGTGAAATCCTCGCTTCTGTATTGTTTTGTATGTTTATTTGCATGGTCTCTGTCTGGTTCTGTGATTGTTTCTGTCTGCTGTATAATTAATTTTACTGGGTTTAAACTAATTAAGGTGGTGGGATATAATTGGTTAGCTAATCATGTTACAATATGTTAGGATTGGTTAGGTAAATTTGAGTAGAATGATTGGTTAAGGTATAGCTAAGAATATTACTATATAAATTAGGGGCAAACAGGAAGTAAGTTGGGATTCGAAAATAAGGGAAAAGGAAGTTGGATTAAAGCTTGCTGGAAGTTCACCCCAATAAACATCGAATTGTTTGCACCTTCGGACTTCGGGTATCGTTGCTCTCTATTTATGCGAGAAGGACCAGGGAAGTGGGAGAGTGAAGGAATAAGCTCTCTAACAGCCCCAATACAAGGGCAAGGACCGCTCACCAAGGGACATGCCCCAGGGATTTTACCTCCTTACTCAATCAGTTGTCCAGCCTATTTATTCGTAGATCTCAGTGCATGGAAAGCTGCTTTTCAACCCAACAGCTTGAAGCACCATCTCCTGGGTTAAGTGACTCACCCTACCACTTTGATCATGGAGTGGGGATTTTCCAGGGAAGTGTGATTAGCTAAAGCGTCTGGGGCTGTCCACAAATTACATAACATCTTTTTGGCGATTTGCAAGACCCACCACCCCCATGTAACCCTTTGTAACACTGAAACAAACATGAAAAACGAAGGACTCACCCACTCCCTGATGTGTTACATAATTTATGGACAGTCCCTTTATAGTGAAATCTGACCATTCAAGGGACTGACAAAAACTGATTGCTTAATGCAGGTAGTTTTCCAGCACAGGGGGAGGGAGGTAAAATGAGGCATATGGGCTCTGAAGGCAGGAAGGCTGCCTAGCTGAGGTGATCTCTTGCAAAGGTTTCATTCTCCAATTAAAAAAAGCCCAAACCAAGCAAGTTAACCCCTAAAAGGGATGAGGTTTCATAGCTGCAGGCTCAGAGGAGCATTTCCTTTGCAGAAGAATTGGTGACATGTTACCAGAAGAACGCACAGAACAATTCCAGTTAACAAGACAGCAAGCTCCCAGGGTGTCTGGATAGCAAGAGGGAGGCATGCAGGAAGGTTAAACTGATGTGGTGGTGAGGGGGAATCCCTTGGCTTTTGACTTTCCCATTAGCGCTCCCAAGCTTATCCATAGCTTTATCTGTAATCTCTGCCTGGGTGGCTAATCCTGCAAATGCTCCATGCTCTGTGTAGCGGAGCTGGTTCTGACACAGGGTGTTCTCCTGGGAGTTTACGGTGCAGGGACCTTTAAGAGAACTAACATGGCTCAGCAGAGTTCTGTGAGGGGCCCTAACAGCACCCAGACTCAGCTGTTACAGCACTTATTAGGGGGCACCTAGACTCCTTTGATGGCTGGTTTATGGGAGGACACAGAGCAGAGACTGCTAACCCCACTGATCAATTCACCCGGAGGGGGATGGACCCTGATGCTGCAGGAGCTATGGGAGGCCAGGTTTAATCTCCAGTCCCTTGCCTTCCTTGACCCCTGCTTGGACGCTGAGTGAGAGGGCCATGACTTAGCGCACAGAGGAACAGAAGAGCAGCCAATGGACTCTAGCCAGGGCCGGCTCCCGGCACCAGCTAAGGAAGCAGGTGGTTGGGGCGGCCAATACAAAGGGGCGGCACTCCGTCCGCTATTGGGGCAGCCTGTCCGGGTCTTCGGTGGCGGGTCCCTCAGTCCCTCTCTTCCTCTTTGAGCTGCCGCCGAAGAGGAAGAGAGGGAGTGAAGGACCCGCCACTGAACTGCCACCGAAGTACGGAGCGGCGTGACTGAGCTGCCGCCAAAGTGCCGCCGACCGTTTGTTTTTTTCCGCCGCTTGGGGCGGCAGAAAACCTGGAGCTGGCCCTGACTCCAGCAGGAGAAACGCCCTCCCTCTCTGAGCCACCACAAGGTACTTACAGCTCAGCTTCCTCCAAGGGCCAGGGGATCAGCTTGACGATACAGTGACCCTGAGACCAGGCGAACCAGGTGCCGTCTGGGGAAAATGCAACGCTCCAAGTCTCGCAGCTCGCCTTCCAGTCGTACTGCTGGGGTCGCCCTGGCTTCAGCTCTGCCAGCAGGAGAGGCTCGTCTGGGGAACGAGATGGCACAGTTACTCACAGAGCATGTGACAGAGCCAACCATCCACCCAAGACCACGCACACATGTGGGGACGGCAGCGTTGCCAAGCCAAGGAGCGACCGCAAACACGAGGCTGTGCAACAGCAGCGTGGTCTAGTGGCCTCCTACATTCTAACCCCAGCTCTGACATTCCCTCTGCAAGCTTAGGGCCAGTCACTTCGGGCCCTGTCCTGCTCCCACTGAATTCAGCGGGCAGCATTGGGACCACATTTTCAAGACATTAAGGACCAGCTGAAGATGTCAATGTATTTTGAGAAAAAGCAGCCCTTGTAAAAGCTTCGTGAAAGCTCCCACCGCAGAGTATCATGCATAGGCTGATGTACAGGGCATCGGCCTGCGAGGCAGGAGACCAGAGTTCTATTCCCAACGCTACCGCGTGGCCTTCGGCAAGTCACCCCAGGCCAGATTTGTGAAGCTACTGAGGTGTGGAATGCTTTGAGGGCTCCAGATGATGAGCTCTGTTATTATTTAAATACTAACTGGCTCAGCCTCCTTCTGGCAACTGCTCTACTGCGGGCTCTGCTATAAGACAGCATGGTCTGGTTACTGTTCTGCTTTAGCGCTCACAAGAGTTACCACTACAGATGTTAAACACCACATATCCGACTGTCGCGTGTTACCCATGGCCAGAATCAACCCAGTGAGCTCCCCGGGGCGGGGGAGGTCTCACGGTCCAAGGTGGGCTCTTCAGATTGGACACATGGGCCTCTATCTCCTCTCCCGGCAACACAATCTCTCAGCCCCCTGTTGTGCTCAGTTTCAGCATAGAGAAGAGGCCATCCTTACCAAGGAACAGTGTACTTTTACCAGACCGGAAGTATGTAGCAGGAACTTTTCATAAGGGCACTGGGAGGCAATTCAACTGGTTAGATCACATTGCATCCTATTAAACCGGCCACCTGCTGCACCGCTGCTTTTCAAACAACAGATTCCCCTTATGTTCATGCGCAAATGTGGTGCCACTGAACTAGACCAACCTACTGCCTAGAGTCCTGCAACACACAGCAGAACTTCAGAGTTACGAACTGACCACTCAACCACACGCCTCCTTTGGAACCAGAAGTTCGCAATCAGGCAGCAGCAGAGAGACCCCAAAAAAAGGAAATACAGCACAGTACTGTGTTAAATGTAAACTAATAAAAAAAAAGGGAACGTTTAAAAAAAATCTGACAAGGTAAGGAAACTGTCTCTGGGGTCGTTTCATTTAAATGGATGGTTAAAGGCAGCATTTTTCTTCTGCATAGTAAAGTTTCAAAGCTGTATTAAGTCAATGTTCAGTTGTAAACTTTTGAAAGAACCACCGTAACGTTTTGTTCAGAGTTCGGAACATTTCAGAGTTACGAACAACCTCCATTCCCGAGGGGTTCGTATCTCTGCGGTTCTACTGTACTTCAAGCCTGAAACAGAACGAGGCCCTTACTCCAAAGCAGCCTTGACGCGGAAAAACTTCCTGGCCAGCCACTGAGCGATGGTTTTGTAACATGGACAAATACCCTCCAGGGGTTAGGCTGACACCACACAACTCATTCTCCCCCGTGAGCTAAACTACATTTGAAACTAGAACTCCGGGAAGAGACACAAGAGTGTATTTGCCAGAAGCTGGGAATGGGCAACCAGGGATGGATCACTTGATGATTACCTGTTCATTCCCTCTGGGGCACCTGGCATTGGCCACTGTCAGAGGACAGGATACTGGGCTAGATGGACCTTTGGTCTAACCCTGTATGGCTGTTCTTATGGTCTTATTAAACCACTGCATGACCTAGCCTTCCAAATAGAAGTATAAACACTGGATCTGCTTGGAACAGCATCTTATACTCCACAGTGGTCACATTACAGCCCCAAGTCTTAGCAAACTAGGCAGCCAGTAACCATGACTCCAACTTTCCTGTATACTAACCTTTGCTCAGGTGAATAAGATTTCAAAGTACAGGAATATCAATGGGGCATTAGTCCCAGCAGAACTCTGGAAACTACCTTATGCTAAATGGCATCAAAACCCGGGATGAAAGGAGACTGCAGTAGTGCAATGATACAGGCCTAGAGGATTAGCAGAGTAGGCTAAAGCCAAGGCTGAGTATGGGAACGGAGACATGCCACCTGCTGTACTCACTGCTAGTCCACTTCCGGGCCTCTGAGCACAGGCTGCCAGTCACAGGGCTTTTCTGAGGGAGCCACCAAATTCATTTTCACTTGTAACCCAGTTCAGGATTTGAACCCAGCTCTCCAGAAACTACGCTAGGGCACTAACCTACAGCAATACTGGTGTCCAGTTTTACACTGCAAGAGATTTGGAAGGTGACCTGCAAAGGGAAAAGAAGAAGAGAGAGGAATGGGGGACTGTGCCCTTTTTTTCCCTACTTTGCAATGAGGGAGAGTTGCTTGTTGAATCTTGGATTGTTGATTTCAGGAAGAGAGTTGGGAAAAAAAATCCAAAGGGAGCTTTCTCCAGTCCTCCATGAGCAGAGCTTGGTCCCTGTGGGGCATCCCCAGGAGCACGGAGGGGCAAGGGGAAGAAGAGAATCTTTAATTTGGTCTCACCAGAGCTACCCAGGCTATGACGCTGTCTGATGAAAGAGGCAGCAGGTGCACAGTACATACTAACACACTCGGGAACAGATTGTTCAACGGGACGGTCGCAGTTAGGGTGACCAGATGTCCCGATTTTATAGGGACAGTCCCGATTTTGGGGTCTTTTTCTTTTATAGGCTCCTATTACCCCCCATCCCCCGTCCCAATTTTTCACACTTGCTGTCTGATCACCCTACTCACAGTAACCACTCTATAGAAGAGAGATGCTGTGGGAACTGGAATGCTTCATTACCACCACTCTAATCTGGTAAGGAACAGAACAGACCAAGAGTATAGTAGGATATTAACAGCAGCTCCATTCTCATCTTTATCCCAAACAGGAACAGCTATTGACCCAGTACAACTGCACAGAGTGAGACTGGATGTCAGTGCCTCAGACACCACCAAGTTTCTAGTCCCCTCTGTCACAAACTCACTATGACCATGAGCAAATCACGTCACCTCTGTGCCTCAGTTTCCCCCAACTGCAAAATGGGGATATCACCACTTACTTTGGGAATCTGGGAGAGGTGACAATTCATCGAACCTTACAATGCAGTTTGAGAACCTTGGATGGAAGATGCTACAGGAGTGCACGGTACAATAATCACACTGACACTGCACCAAAACTAATGTAGCACGTTACTTTCCAATTAGGTTTTGACTGTCAGCGTGATAATAGTTTGCACGTAAATAGCATCTCTCATCCCAATGGATCCCAGAGCCTTTTAGGAACTTCAGACCCAGACCACCACTGAAATGCAGCTACCTCTAGGGTGGAAACAGATGCACGCCACATTGCACAACCGGGGAGAGGAAACTCCAGGCCGAAACAGCAGTGCAAGCCCCTACTCTTACCAAAAGGAACCCAGGGATATAATCAGTATGTAGAACAGGAAACATCTTGGTTGAGACCCATAAGCTATCATGATCATTTGCAATTTTCCCCGGTATTAGATTTCAAAGAATGGGTGAGAAAGATACATTCGAAAAAAATGTACAGCTTAATAAACAATTGCAACAGCGACAGAAAAGTTGTGCACTTTAATATGGCTTTTCCATAACATGCCGGTCACACACACACAAAAAATCGAATATTAACAAATGGATACAGTATAGTCACTGATTTGTAGCAGGAGATTGGTAGGTTTTAAATACAAACTGTACATTGATAAAATACCAGTGTCTGACACTGAACATGAAGTTACATTTCACCCCTCAAAAAGTGAAGATAAATGCCTCCTGTAACAGATGATGTAAGAACAGGGGTACCTATTAATAAGCATAAAGATTATCTATTCCCTTTTCTCCCCCTCCCCATTGCAACCCCAGCAACAGCTACCCCTGAGAGAGGCTTTCCCACGTCAGCAGAATGAATGGAGGGGTCTCCTGAGGGCGATCTACGCTAGGAAATTCACCTATTACTGAAAATGCTTTTCGTCCAGCTTCAGCTCCTTTGTGAAATGTTTTTTTTTTCTGGTCTACGTTCACCTTTAAACCATTTTCAATACCTTCCATGACTGACAACCATTGTCAGCGTGGGTTCGGTTTCGTAGTGAAGACGTCTGCTCAAAAGCAGGAGCTAGTTGCAGGCACAGCCACTTGTGTACTGAATGGTTTATTGCAGTGATTATCTCTGCAACCATCATGCACATCCTCATGGCAACACCGCTTTGAACAGAACCATTTACACACAGTAGGCCTGGTTTTCTGCAGTGTGGCGTCAATGGGAGATATCTGGGTAATCAGCATTCCTGAAAATCACCCGGTACCAGTGCATTCTGGGACTCCTGCCCCAGAGCACACAGCACTGGTGCAAGGAGCAGGGGCTTTGGGGTAATCTCCCTGACTGTGGGATGGAAATAAGACCACCACATGAAGCAGTGGAATTGCAACACTTGTTGCTTCTCTGGGCAGCAAAAAAAACCACTGTAGACTACACAGGCTCAGCGGGACACTGCTGAAGACCTACTCCTAAGTGTGCAGCCAGTCGTTAAATCCAACCCTCATAAAATGCCTGGGACACCTGCTGTGTGTAGATACAAGGTGTTCCCAGCCATAGTTTCCTGAAATACCTTCCCCCGCTCTCCTCCTCTTAAGGCAGACGGAGCCTTGCGGAGGAGCCAGCATACATCAAGCCCTGTGCAGCCAGCTAACTACACAGTTAAGTGACCTGAGAGTAACCTCATCCAAAAAACAAAATACCCTTCCCTCTGGAAAGGCTTTACCTGCTGTTGTTCCAGGTAACCCCCAAGGCTGCTGCACCTGGCGGAGAAAAATACTTCTCCACGGTGCCTTAATCAGCTCTCGACCCTCAGTCCCTTTCACTGTTCTCTCCCCCAAGCCCAGTTAGCCAGTTTGTTTGGGTCTTTTACACAGCAACAGGGGCAAGAAACCGCAGGACCAAGTGGCTGTAGAGCCGCTAAGCTTGGCAGAGGGACTCAGCCGGGTAATGTACCTTAGACAGAGCTTCTGAAATTGACGTGAGACCGTCCCTCAAAAATCCGCCTCCACATGCACGAAACAAGGACAGGTGAAGCCCCCCTCTCCCCCCGCAAGAGCCACACTGAGGTGACACCACCCCCCCGGGCAGGTTCACGCAGCTTCTCAGCACTGTAGGGAGGAGGCACAGAGCTGGCTGCCCAGGACACAGGGGAAGCAGAGCTCCACCTGGACACAGGGAGAGCTGCCAAGGGGGCCTCTGTTGCACTGCTGGGAGCTGGGGTAGGACCGCCCTTGGCAGGAAGGAGGATACTTTAGCTACCCCCAAATCAATCAGGGCTCCTAGCCATAGCAGACAGGCTGTTTGTGAGGCCAGGCCAGAGCTGCTAGGCTTCACTTCCCGCAGGACCCCCAGGCCACCTGCCTCCTGCCTCCCACCCCCCAGCTGCCTCCTGCTCGCCACATTACTGACCCCCCACCTACAAGCACTCTCCCTGCCCCCCAAAACCCTGTGTGCCCCCTCCCTTTTCTCCTCCAAACACGCCCCTTGCCACTGCCCCACTCCCCCTGCCCCACACAGCACCCCCATCCATACTCCCCCATCTGTGCCCTCTCTCTGCCCCATCTGCCCCCTTCCAAACACTCCCCCTGCCCCACACAACACCTCCCAGCCACACCCCATCTGTGCCCCCTCTCTACCCTACCTGTACCTCCTCCAACCTCCCCCTCCCCATCCACACACCCCATCTGTGCCCCCTCCCCACAGTGCCGCTGGAACAATGTGTACAGTGGGGGGGGGGGGGGTCTCGGAGAGCCATTGAACCAAACTGCAAACCCTGGATATGATGGAAACCACTTCCAGCCGGGGGGGCGCGGGAGCCCCCACAGTCCAGCGCCTCCGCCTCCCGCGCCCCTTCGCCCAGCCCCGGCCCCCTCAAACCCTTCCCCTGCCCAGGCCCACCCCACCTTCCGCCTCCCGCGCCCCCTCTCCCGGCCCCAGCCCCACACTCCCCCTGCCCGCGCCCCCTCTCCCGGCCCCAGCCCCTGCCCGGGCCCCCCTCACCTTCTGCCTCCCGCGCCGCGGTGCCTCCGGGCGGCGCCTCCATGTGTGGCGGGCCGGGGCGGGGCGCCCCGGGGAGAGCCGAGAGGGGAGCCCGGGGCTGTCGGCGGGGCCGGGCCCATTGAGCGCGGCGGGGGCCGGGGCCGCTCGGAGCCCGCTGGAGGGAGCCGGGCGCTCGGGGGCGCAGCCGGGGCGGGGCGGGCCGGGCGCACACAGCTGCTTCCCGTCACATGGCGGCGGCGGCGGGCGGGGCGCCGGCCCCACCTAGCGGCAGAGCCCGGCCCGGATCGCGGCGCTCGGACCAGACCGGGCTACGCGCCCTGGGCAGCCGGGGACACCCGCCCCCGGAGCTGTGTCGCCCCACACGGCGCAGACACCGACAGCCGCCCCGGGGAGCGAACCTGTGACCCCGGAGCCGGGACAGGGCCCCGCTTCCCTGTCCCGTGGCCAGGCGCCGAGCCGGGGTCCCCGAGCAGCCGGAGCCTGGCGCCCGCAGGGGCCCGGGCTGCGGGACGAGCCCGGGCGGACACAGCGGTACCCGGACCTAGCAGGGACCCAGGTTCCGCCGCCAGAACCGAGACACAAACGAGCGAGCCGGGCCGCTTTGCTGGATAAGCCACATCCATGCGAGGTCTGTCGCCTGGGTGTGACCTGTGCTGGAGCAGCATACGGCAGTGGGTCTCAGCCAGGAGACCCCTGGGGGCCATGAGCAGGTCTCAGGGGGGTACGGTGACCAGACAGCAAATGTGAAAAATCGGGACAGGGTCAGGGGGTATATAGGAGCCTATATAAGAAAAAGACCCAAAAATCAGGACTGTCCGTATAGTCACCCTACAGTGGGGCCGTGTCACGGGGTATGGGGGACTCAGGGCCCTGCACCCCCGGCTTCCTGTGATTCACCATGACTCTTAGCCAGCCAGTAAAGCAGAAGGTTTATTTAGACGACAGAAATACAGTCCAAGACAGGTCTTGCAGGCACAGACAACAGGATCCCCCTCAGTTAGGTCCATCTTGGGGTCCCAGGGTGCCCCAGCCCCCTTGGGAGGTCAGAGCCCTGTCTGCCTCCCAGCCACATCACCAGCCAGCTCCTGAAACTCTGCCTTCAGCGACCCCTCCCACAGCCTTTGTTCAGTTTCCCGGGCAAAGGTGTCACCTGGCCTTTAACCCCTTCCTGGGTTCTCATGTTACATGCTCAGGTATTCTCTGAGGGTCAGTCTCCCATCCCCCAATGCAGACTATCCTAGCCACACTCCCCTGTCAGCATTCAAAGACCACATTAAGAACAGTCCCAGTTCGTCACAGGCCGCCAAGCAGGGCCAGCATTAGACTCCACGAGGCCCAGGGCAGAAAGCCGAAGCCTCACCACATGGAGCTGAAGTCGGGGCTGCAGCTGAAGCCTGAGCAATGTAGCAATTGCCCGGCTTGCTACCCCCTAATGCCGGCCCTGGCTTTTATATGCAGAAAACCAATTGTTGTGGCACAGGTGGGCCGTGGAGTTTTTGTAATATGTTGGGGCCTCAGAAAGAAAAAGGTTGAGAAGCCCTGGCATAAGGCACCTTTGCACTTGCTTCCACACTGGGGTTGCACTGGGGAATCACATCCTCACCAACATAGTTATACCAGTACAGAACTGCGTAGCCCAGGCCTTAGGGTGCCAGGAGAGATTTTAAAACTCTGCAAAGAGAAGCACCCATGCAATGCACTTCCCCACTCACCAAAAACGACACTTTGCACCTGTGTGTGTGTGTAGCTGCTGAAGGGAAGCCCGGCTGCAGCCACAGGTAAACAGCAGATTGTATTGTAACGTAGGAACCAAGTGATCTCCAAACCCCTGGAAACTAGGTAAAGGAGTAGGAGGGAAAAGAGCCATGGGTTAGGAAGGGGTCCCACCCACTCCCAGTCAGAACTGCATTCAAAGCAGCAATGGCGTTCAAGTCTTGGGCTCCTGCTAACAATCCGATGGGCTTCCGGTGCATCCATTTCACCCCAGCAAGCAGGTGTTTTTGCAAAGTAGAAGCCTAAGGTCCTGGTATTGATGTT